AAAAACCCAAAATTATCAAGTTAAAAGTTGAATGTGTAATAACCGTTGGGAAAGAGATTATGAATGGAACTGAACATTTCATATTACAAGTAAACTTACACATATAGCGAACACGGTTATAGCGAACTTCCGGTTATAAAGGAACAAATTTTTTTTTGGCCCCGAATTTTTGCCCTTCTTTATTTAATGCTAAAAAAATTACCGGTTACAGCGAACCGGTTATTTAAATAAAGGAATTATGCTTATAAGGAAACTCATTTTTAGTCCCCAATGCCCCCATAAAAGTACCAGAAGAAAATTACCACTTTTATAACGAACTCCCCCAAATATTGGCTATCCAGCTAAACAGATCTCGCATTTTCTACTATCGTTTTCATCGGCACAGAATTACAAACTTGGCCGAAAAAATGTAGCGGCGATATATTAGGAACAAAAAATAATGACGATGACAGTCAGATTCCTTCCGAAGACCCGAGATCTATTTGGATTATCTGCGGTTGTGTCAAAAAATGAAGCTATTGATTGTTTGCACTAGATTAGGTTTATACTTTGAAATCTAATGCACATGTTGGAAAAACAGTTTTTAAAAGTTTATTGAATATTGATTTTAACCTGAAAGTTTGTAAACATTCCCACACTAAAATTAGCGACTTCTTCAAAGCAAAGTGATTATTTGTGTGCATGATAACTGTATCGTTAATAAATAACAATATTGCAATATATGGTACTATCATATAATTTATCTTATAGATATATTTTATACATACAAATTTTATTAAAAAAGAAAACAACAATGCAAATTTATTCCTTAATCAATATAAGGGAGACCAAAATGACGAAAACTCAAAAGAGTTTTTTTCTACTTAATCAAATGCCCTCTTCTAAATGGTAGGGACAGAATGGTAAACAAATTAAAATTCGTTAAATGTTAAAAATATTCGCCTAAAAAAAACATTTTTCTGAATACAAAGGAAAACTAATTATCGCCTAAGCTTACAAAGAGAATCCGGAATAATAAGGAACAGATTTTATGAATTTCCCAGTGAGTTCCCGTTATAACGGAGTTTTTACTGTATTTTCAAAGATAAAAAGCGGCATAATCGGCATATTAAAAAAATTAGAAAGGTTTTATTTAAAAAAGTAGAAATGGTTAAAGGCCTGTCAATGAATTTTCTTGTTGATTTCAGTGATTTGTTCCAGATAAAATTGCTGATGGACAGACGGACAAATGAAAAGACAAAAACAAAGGGTAAAACCTAGTTTCCTCCAGTTTAAACCGGTTGGGAACTGATAACTTATAATTCTGTGGCATCAACACCTATCCTGCCACCTTTACTATCATAATTGTGTGTTTACTTATAAACTTACCTGTTATTCCTCATGATTTAATGGTATCTTCCTGACAAAGCAATACACCCCGAATCTTGATGTCCAACTGTCTGCTAAATAATAATAGTCTGTTAAACTATATCTACAAAAAAATAAAACAAAAACATTGAATTTTGATAATATTTGCCACCTAAATTCTCATAAATTTTAAACTTTAAAAATGTTTCAGTTAACCCATTACTTACTCAATAGGTTTGATGGATATGCCCAACTTTGAATTTGGAAAAGTCCACTCTATTTTAAAGGGATATAAAAATACTAATATTGAGCTACCAACAGTATAGAGATTAAAAGATAGAGGAAGAGCATATTCAAGTTTTTTATTTTCATCAAACAGTATGAATCATTTCACGAGTGGTGGTAGCCACAAGTAAAATGTGGCAATTTTCATACCACAAGAAAGAAAAAAAAATCTGTATTTATATAAAAACTTGAATTTTTTGTTTAGTTCTTTTTTTATCTTACAATTCAAAAGAATTCCACTTTCATTTTGTGTACTGGCTGAATGTAGAGGAAAGTAGTCTGGCAAGATACTGGTGAAAATACGAAAATTTTACCACTGCATATTATTTCGTCAATATCTCTCAATATTTCTTTTATAAGTATATAATAATTATATATATGTATTACATGGCCCTCTCCTGGCTGCTGCTTCACCAATACTATCATATGAACCTATAGTATTGACAGACTTGTACAATATTCCAACCTTGTTCAAGAATAAATCTATCTCATTCTGGTGATTTCTTAACTGAAAATAAAAATACAAAACGAGAAACAGTAATGAAACTACAGTAGATAAATAAATTAAAAATAAGTTAATCAATTTATTAACAATATCCTGTAGATAACACACCTTGTTATAGCGTATATACATGTACTAACTTACTGTACATAAAATTAGTCAGTGTAATTAGACTTGTAAAAGAGACATCATATTTTTTGACTGCGGGATGTCTTTTTCACATTGTTCAACAGTTTGGCAGTAGGAAAAAAAGTTAGCTAAATAAGTCAAAACGTTCATGCTTAATTAATTAGGCTTACATAATATATACAAATAAACCAGGGCTACCATATAAAGATATAAAAAGTAACTTAAAATCTTTTTTATATTAGATGGTTAATGCACCAATAACTTAAAACGTAATGATCAAGGTTGAAGTTTGCAGACTGTATTGCCACCATGACTGTAACAATACCTCTATTTTTTTACTTTTGAAAAAAAGTTGAGCTACAAATGGAATTAATAAGAAATACAAGTTTATCTAGTATAAGAGATGCTCACTCACTGATGAATGCATTAAGAAATAAATTTTCTGTTTAGGATAATCTAATGCTGCAATATTCTGTAAGGCTTCTCTAAGAAATGGTGTTGGATGCTCCACAAACACTCCCAATACAATAGATGGATAATCCTCTTCCTTTAAATAAATAGTCACAAAATATTATATTTACAAGTTACATTTTATATATATATCAATTATATATATAAGTAACATTTTTGTATATATCACTCTAATAACATTTTTTTCCCTATTGATTACTCTGGTTGCATTTTATCTATATATCACTTTAATGACATTTTTCTTTTTATCACTGGTTGTATTTTTTCTATATATCACTTTAATTACATTTTTTCTTTTTGTCACTCTGGTTACATTTTTCTATATATATGTATATCACTTTAATTACATTTTTCATTTTATCACTCTGGTTACATTTTTCTATACCGTATATCACTTTAATTACATTTTTCTTTTGATCACTCTGGTTACATTTTTCTATATATCACTTTAATTACATTTTTCTTTTTATCAATCTGGTTACATTTTTCTATATATCACTTTAATTCCATTTTTCTGTTATCATTCTAGTTAAAGTTACAGTACAACAGTTTGTTGGACTAACCCTATAGAGAGCCCTGTATAACTATTTGCAATCAGAAATTTGAATTTGCAAAAGTAATTATAAATAGCTGTCATTATTTATTCATTATACAGACACTGCTAACATTCATTTTGCTACCTATACAACAAATAATTTCACATAACCATTATATACAACATATATTACCCCTACAGAATGAAAGAATTTCTTCATTTCTGAAGCTAAATGTGGAGTTAAAAAATCATCTTGTCACCTCTTGGTTAAGGACTACTATAATTCTGACATCACACCTATCCTGCCACCCCTACTATTATAATAGTATGTTAACTTATAAACTTACCAGCAATCCCTCAAGATTAATGGTATCTTCCTGACAGGCAATACACCCTGAACTTGATGTCCAACTGTCCGCTAAATAATTAGCAAGTCTGTTAAACTCTGGCTATATGAAGAAAAAAACATTGAATTAATAATGTTTGCCACCTAAATTCTCATAAAATATGAAACCTTAAAAATGTTGATGATATCTTGATGTACAACTATGTCATACATTTATAACAAGAGGGCCATGATGGCCCTGAGTCGCTCACCAGAAACAACTGCTTTTCACTTTTAGCTTAAACGGGGCTAATCAAATTAATATGAGCAAACTTGATAAAAGATTACCCAAGAATGCTACTGACGAAGTTTGGTGATCATCCATCAATTAGTTCTGTAGAAATAGACATTTAAAAGAATTTCTATTTTTAGCTTTTGCAGCCCCTAAAAGGGGCCAATGAAAATAATTTTAGCAAACTTGATAAAAGACTACCCAAGAATACTACAGAAAAAGTTTGGTGATCATCCATCAATTAGTTCTCTAGAAGTAGACATTTAACGGTATTTCTATTTTTAGCTTTAGTGGCCCCTAAAAGGGCCCAATCAAATTAATATGAGCAAACTTGATAAAACACTACCCAAGAATGCTGTCGACAAAATTAAGTGTACATCCATCAATTAGTTCTGTAGGAGAAGGTGTTTAAAGGTTTTTTTTCTATTTTTAGCCCAAGAATGATACAGACAAAGTTTGGTGATCATCCATCAATTAGTTCTCTAGAAATAAAAAGCAATGTAAAATAAGAAAACCAGCATAAACTACATATTGGCATGAAATTAGTTTTAAGTCATATTAAGCAAAAATTAGAAAATACAATTTTTTATATGTATAAAAAAATATAAAATATTATATAATATATTATATATTATATTAAAATGAAGAATTATAATCTACAAAATTAATAAAGTATTTTGGAATTCATGCCATCAGGAATAATTGTACCTAGCTTATACATCCATGAAGTTTCTTTTAATAATCTTTGCCAATTATTCTTTACTTTATCAATTGGCATAAATGAAAAATCTTTGATAGAATGCCCTTCAGAATTAAAATGTTCAGATACATTGGTAATAGTGTCAGGAAAGTGTTTAATATCAAATTTGTGGCTATTCATTCTTTGACTACATTTTTGCTGAGTTTGACCAACATACTGTTTTTTACATTTTTTACAAGTTATAAGATAAATGACATCTGAAGATATACATGAAAAATCACGTTTTATAGCAAATTCTTTAGGTATAGTAGTACTTGAAAAATTATTAGTTTCAACAATATTATTACAATGAGTACAACGAGGTCGACAGCATTTATATACTGAACCAACCATGAGTTTGGCATTTAAATGAGTATGAACTAAATTGTCTTGTAAATTTCTCGGTCTCTTATAAGCAACAATTGGTTTGTATTTGTATAATTTACGTACACTTTCATTTGGAGAAAATTTCAATAGGTTCCAATATTGGTTAATTATTTTACCTATATTAGGTAAAGATGGATTATATGTACACACAAAGGGGATAATATTTTTCACGTTCTTCTGATTTGTCTTTTAATTTTAATGTATCCTCCCTCGATAAAGTTGATGCTCTGGTAATTGTGTCTGTAATGATATTTTCTGGATAGTTTCTGGCACGGAAATAACCTCGTAGTTTTGTCACAGTCTTTTTCATATATGTTGTTATTTGATGTAATTCGTCTGTATCGTTTTAGCCTGGCTAAATGGAATACCTTTTTTACATGACAAAGGATGGCATGAAGAAAATTCAATATATTGATGGGCATTTGTTATTTTTTCATGGACACTAGTTTCAATTTCACAGTTATCTTTCTTTTCCAAATTTACGTCTAGAAATGTTTGCATTTGTTTTTGAGTAGTTATAAGTAAATTTAATAGTGTTGTGATAGTTGTTAATTTCAGTAAAAAATGTAATAAGCTCCTCTTCACTGTGGTCCCAAATGAAAAAAATATCATCAAGAAATCGCAGCCATATTGAGGGTTTTCTTTCACATGTATTTAAAAAGTCCATTTCAAATTTTCCCATAAATAATGAAGCATAAGATGGTGCCATTTTAGTTCCCATAGCTGTTCCTAAATTTTGTATATAGTTATCATCACCAAACTGGAAGTTGTTTTTTGTAAGCACTATTTCAATAAGATGTAAAATGTCTTTAACTGAATGTTGTTGTCCTGTTCTCTGATTAAGGTAATACTGACATGCTTTTATTCCATCGTTATGCGGTATATTACTATATAAAGATGATACATCCATTGTTATTAAAAATGATTCTGTTGAAATATTTGTTATGTTTTGTATTTTTCTGATAAAATCTGTAGTATCCTTGACATATGAGGGTAATGATTCCATGTGTGGTTTGAGTATATTATCGACATACGATGATATGTTTTCAGTTAATGAACCGCATCCAGATACTATTGGTCTTCCAGGGTAACCGAGTGGTAGATCAGAATTGAATTTTTTTTTTTTGATTTTTGATAAAATATAAAAAAGCTGGAACTCTATTATCACTATCAGGAACCAAAGATTCTTTTATAGAGTAACTTTTATTATCCATTTGATAAATTTCCTCATAGATTTCTTTTTTAAATTGTTCAGTTGGATTATTTTCAAGTTTCTTATAATATTGGTCGTTTTCAAGCTGTCGGTGAACTTCTCTAATGTAGTCAGTACGGTTCATAACAACAATAACCGAACTTTTATCAGCTTTTTTTATAATGATATTTTCATCTTTTTGTAGGCTTTGCAAGGCTTTTAACTCTTCTGGTGATAAATTTGTTTTATAACTATTGTGTTTACTGTTTGACAGAATTTCATTTGTTATTGCTTCAATATAAAAATCAAGATTGGAATCTCTGCCAGAAGGGGGAATAAAAGTAGAGTTGTTTTTCTTCTTACTGTTAATGTCATAATTATTGGTACTATTGTTTTCATTTCCCTCACTATTTTCCTCTTTTGCTGCAAAATATTCATTCAATCTGAGTTTTCTTGTAAATTCAAAAACATCTTGTTTAAGTTGAATTCTATTATGGGGTTTTGGTGTTGGGCAGAATTTAAACCTTTACCAAGTAATCGATATTCAGTGTTATTGAGCTGTTTATTAGAAAGATTTATTACAGTGTTCTTACCCCTTTCTATGTCTTTCTTTATTTTCTTGTTTTTCTTCCATTTTCTCTTGTTTGTGATTCGAATGAATCGTCTGTTCTTTTTAGATTCTGTAGGCATTTGATCAGTTCCTGAATAGTTTTCTCTAGGTGTAATGTGTTTTTTCCATTCTGGTGTTGTATGTTGCTCTCTTGTGGTACATGAATTTTCTTGTATTGTTGTTTCCCCATTGTCACGGCTTCGCTGTATTTCATCTTCATGCTGCCTGGGGATATCTCGTTTTTTTGAAACATTCGATGGCATTGATTTTGGCTTTGCATTTTTGTTATTGTTTGTGCCAATGGTTTAATGTTGTCTCTATCATTTACCTCTTCTTTGGCATTTTTATTTGAATGTTCATAATTTGTTCTTTGCTCTCTTTTTTTTTGGTTTTTGTTTTGATTCTTGGAAATTTGTCTTTTTCTTTTCTCATCATTGCGATTTGATGTAGAAATTTGTGCAGATTTCTTCAATAATGTAACAGTCTCTTTTGTCAGTCAGCTGCTTAATTTTCTTATTTTGATTTGCAACAATAGTGTTCTTCTTTAATTCTGTTTTGTTGAATATTTCTTGTGAAATTCTATTCATTTCACCATTGTTGTTTAGTTTAGATCTAAGTTCATTTTCAAGTTCAATCATTTTTGGCTTTGACTCTTGTAATCTTCCTACATATAGCATTAATACGCCAAATTATGTATTACATTTTGACGTTGTTGTCCTTGACGTCATATGACGTTGACGTCATTTCCTGTAAACAAAGTATACCTGATGAAGACTTTTGAGTCGAAACGTTGTATATTTTTCAAATAAAATAATTACATTTTTAAATTGAAACTGGAGTTGATTTCTATATTCAAACTTATATTCTCTAGAAATAGACATTTAATGGTTTTTCTATTTTTAGCTTTAGCGGCTATTTTTAGCTCTAGAGACCCCTAAAAGGGTCCAATCAAATTAATATGAGCAAACTTGATAAAAGACTACCCAAGAATGCTACAGACAAAGTTTGTAGAAGAAGATGTTTAAGGTTTTTCAATTTTTAGCTCTGCTGACCCCTAAAAGGGGCCAACTGGAATGACATGAGCAAATTCAAGTGTGACTGTCACAAGGATGCTACAGACCAAATGTAGGATAACGGTAATTAGCCGGTAATAAGGCAACAATACATAGGCGGATATATTAAATATAATGAGCTGTCACGGGACACTCGAATAGGATATGCCTAATTTAGTTAATTGATGGGCATGTCATCACCTCAGCGGGGATTTGTACCTGTAGTGTGCAAACATAATTGTTTATTTAATTGTTAGCTGTCCGGAAATGTATATTTGCATTATGAATTATGAAGGTGTAAAGTTTAAGGCGTATATTATTTTAGTATATAAGGTGAGCAAAATATTTTATTCTTTAGTGTAGTTTTTGATGTTAAAACACGCAATTGACATTTTTTCTTATGTTTTTATTTAAGAATTGAGAAATTGTTAAAAACATTGGTTAAGCAATTGTTTTATCTTATAGAATAACATTTTATATTAAATAAACACATATATCTGACGTTTATAAACTTGATATTGTGTTGACTTATTCATATTGAGCTATTAAGATTTGAGCGTTACACTACACAAATTTGAAGTAAATCTGTCCAGTAGTTTCAGAGAAGAAGACGATTGTTGACGCATGACGACGGACGACGGACGCAGGAGCATCCCCCTTTGATACTAATAGCTCACCCTGAGCCTTCGGCTCTGGTGAGCTAACAAGAGCTTCAGCGGAAAGCAATACTTGACAATCCAAAAGATATGTCACAAGTGTGTTTCATTGAGTAAAATGCTTACCTATATGAATATTTAAAATTATCCCAAAAATATACAAAGGGTTGTTCTTAGAATGTTTCATCAAGTAAATCACTGCTTGATTATTATGAATGCAT